ATGGAGAAAAATGAGAGTTTGTGAATTTTTCACAACTGCTCTCCCAGCAAATCACGCGTCTTCACGGGAAAGTTCAATCGGCAATTCAACAGAACTCAGAAAAGATCCAGTCCATATCATGAACTTGAAGAGGAATAACATGGACTTGGTCGCGGGGCGCTGGCGGTGGGCATTTGCTGCTCTACCCAATGACATTAACAGTACTACATAGGAGAGCACAGACACCGTCGATGCACCTCTCACTCTTATATGGCTCGCTGTTCACAGAAGGGAGACGGGCAAGAGAATCGTGAATTGCCGCTTCGTCGCGCGCGGCAGTGGGATGCGACGTTTCCTTAATTTGCACTACCCTTTCGATTGGAGCATCGGATTTCATGCGGACAAGGACATGGTAGACACTTATGCCTATTTTTGGCGAATTACGATTCTCTTGTCACATACCCTTCACAGACACAGGCCGGTGAAGGGGCGTGTCCGGCGTGACCAGTTTGGCTCAGCGCCAGATCCGTTCTCCACCGATCATTGTGAGCGGGCAAGCGACAACAGTTGTTGGAAAACGACTGGTACGGACGACTGATACCGTCTCATGGCTTTCTCGCTCCAACAACTGGTAGAAAACGAGAGAAGGGCAAGAGAATCGTAATTTGCCGCTCGCCGCGAGTGGCGATGAAGAACGCGGCGTTTCCCTAACTCGTTTAGACCCTGTTCGATGAGCCACTGACTTCATGTAGACCCCGTCATCGTAGACATTCATGACTATTTTCGGTCCGCACGTTGTCTAACTACCTGGAACCATCGTCATTTGCTGTCGCGACGTCGCACACGACGCCCTCCAGCGCGATGAATTACGATTCTCTTGTCACGTACCCGTAGAAAACCCCCCCTCTCCTTCTTCAAGCATATCCCGCCTAACAATCCTCTTCATCCGCAGCGGACGAGACTGTACTGACACAGTAACACGAATCATTCCTGTTAGATCTTTATTTGAAAGCGCAATAAACAGTACCGAGTAACGGATTCTTTAGCCAGAAATTCAGATATGGCGTACAGAGGTTAGTAAATAAAGTGATTATATGTTGTGGCTAATTTATATATTTTTTCAAACATTTCAGATTAAAATCCTTTAGTGATCTTATGATAATTCTTCTTGAAAGTTTCAAGTGCTAGATCGAGGCTTTGTGGCAGACATCCAGTTTTGTGGAGAAAATTTTCAAAAGCACTTGATGGACATACGAAGATTACTGCTGTCATTCTGCCAACAGAGCTAAAAGTGATACAAAAAAGGCGCGTGCGCTGTTTGGATTGGGGGGGGGAGGGAGTCTCGCGTTCTCTTTCGGTCCTTCGGTTGCTAAATAATGATTGCGGTGAGGAAACTACAGTCGTTATCATTGGAATCACTCGGGGGCGGCTCAGCACCATATGAGTTTTGGCCGCGCCATCCGTTTTTTCATCAACGTTGAGCGGCGACTCATTTGGATGTTGAATAAATGGTGCGGCGCGAATGAATGGTGGGGAAGAAACTGGCGCCGCACCAAAACACAGGCGCCGCCGACACGCCCCGACTGACTTTAGTGATAACGACTATACAACAGGGTGAGTGTGTACCTGTATGCTGTTACTCCGTTGAGTTCTGATCTCTTCGAGATATTGGCTCATTGAACGGAGCTGTTCACCCCTCGCAAGGACTTCCATGGCATATTGGAGCAAGACAATTGATCCAGTTCTGCCAATACCTGCTGAGCAGTGTACAATGATGGGTGCCCTGGAATCAATGAACTGGCTGATATCGACTTGCTGATGATCTTTTTGACTAGCCTTGTGTTGACAAGCTCATGAAGGAGATAAAGCGGAGCCAGATCCGCTTGTGGAACTCCTCGATCAGGCCAATCAACCCAGTGATAATGAGCACACGAATGATGTGGACATCCTGGGACAGAGACCTCCAAACTGGTGACTTCTACGACCACGTTGGTCTCGAATGGGAAGTTAAACTGAAAAAAGAGCGTCGTTATATGCGATATGGCCAAGGTGGGGCAGTGGCAAGAGGCGCGCTATCGAACGTACGGTACAAGTATCGGGTCTTGGCTTCAAAGCAGTGGACAGGATAGCTGGGGCAGGCGGTTGCTGCCAACGTCATTGGTGGAAGGACTGAGTGGGGTGTGGCCAGATGCCTCTATCGCAGCCCTTCCACCAGTGCCGTTGGCAGTAACCGCGCGCCCCAGCCATCGTGCCCACTGCCTTCAAAGACACATTTCATGAGACAATGTGTGGGTAGTGTAAGCGCGAGTGTGGTCACATATGAATTTGCAGGTGTCAGGTGAAAGAGAGACCAAAAAAACACAGTTGGAAACGGCCAAAAGAAAACGCTTGTTCTGCGTAAGAACCAATGGCGACAAAACACTGAGCGCGTGAGAGAGAGATCAGAGAGCGAAGGGAAGAGGGAGCTCACGACGAACGCGGGAGACAAAGTGACCGAGAGATCTTCACCCTACCTGCTCCCTGTTCTTGAAGGAAACGGTGATATTGCCTTCGAACGTTAATGGCTCATTACTATCCGTTGGATAGTATTCTGCACACTTTTCGCGACCCTTAATGTTAGCTACATTGGTTGTGATGACATTACTGTGGTTGGCTACAACTCTATTTCCCTTCACTGATAGGAAGTGTACAGTGCACGTTGTCGTGTGGGCGGGGACAGCCCATCGTAAAGCTTTTGCTGATCTGCACCCTGTTTTGCCCTCCTCTTTGATATCTTGAAAGAAGAGTGCACCAAAGTTGCAGTAATAATGGTTGACTGCCTCCGCCCATACGTCCAGCGTGTAGAGCAAAACTTGGGAGTAGAAACAGTAGCGAACCATTTCTGTGAAATTGCATAACATCAGAATCACATCGGCCTCTTCCTGCACTACCATGCACCAAAATTCCGCACATGTGTGAAGGCTCAAATGACTGGGGAGAAGGAACTGAACCATTCAAATTTTACCTGCGTGCATACAAACTTTCTCGGATGGCTGGGAGTGGAGACATAGTTGGCGTGGATGTATGTGGTGTGCCCCAGGGTCAAGATTACCCGATTGTCGTCAAAACATCCAACGTCCTTAACAGTTTCATGTCGGTGATTGACTCACTTTCAATACAACTCACTATATGTAAACTAGACTTTGTCAATTTGAAAGTTGCTCATCTAAAACCCTGGCGTAAGCCAAAGAACACTACACATGAAGTATGCCCCGCCCACAATGGGCGGGGCTTGGACCGTACTGAAAAAAAGACAACACCGAGTAAAAGAGTAGGAATGAGCATGAAGCTGACCGCGGGCTAAATTAGTAAGTTCAGCAGCTGGTTAGCGGACTAAATGTAGAAGACGACGCCCAATACTGCCCAATTGGGCAAAGCGCACTGTAGAGTGGGAGGAGCAGGGCTTTTCAAAAACGCCGCAGTTCGGACCTCATCACATGTAGGAGAGCAGACAAATTGTGTAAAAGGAGAAGAGGACGAAGCGCAGGAATAATGTTCTGGGCAGTGGACGGAGTTGTGCGACAGAATGGGGATTAACGACTCGATCTCATAGCTCGCTCGGCCTGAATAAGTTCTGAATACGCCATACGAAGGGTGGTGATAGTCGCGACGAGCAGTGTCTGCGAGTAAGCGGTGGGCGCAGTGCCATTATGCCATTCGCCGGATCTCTTCGATCCAGACAGCGCTTGCAATTCCGAATCGACTCCAGCTCTCTCAATAAAAGCTCGCACAATGAGCGCTAACGACCTAAGCGAAGATTACCGACTCCGCGCTTCGCGGCGCTATATTTCCGTAGCCGTAGCCATTGAATTGGCTGTTCTAGCGTTCGTTCTCTCTTGCACCGTAAATATGCCATGGTCAGCGAGGTTCTTATCGCAGGGCGTTTCCACATAAGCTTGCCTTGCTTTCTCACTCACTTATGATCCAGTTACTGCATGATTCTCATCTGTAACCTGCACACGGTCTGCACAGGACGATCATGGTCGAGTAATTTGAGGTTAGGGGAAAATATCTGCTACTTTATCACGTCATGTGGACCTCCTGGCAGATAACACTAATCAGGGCACGTCCTGCCGCCGGGGAAAATTTTTGAAAGATACGGCCCCTCTGTAATGTTGTCGTTTGTTAACCCCGCCCCTTGTTACCCCGCCCCCTCTTACCAACTACTGCCTTCAACTAGTCCCAATGCGGCAAATTTCTTTTCAGAACGAGTACGACCCCCTCTTCTCAACAATTGGCAAATACGTCCCATTCCCAACAGAATTCTCCCAACAAGGTAAATAGCGCCGTGAAACAGAAAAATTTCACCATACATTTTTTCTCACACCAGTTACAACCCCCTCCCTCCCTCTTGCGACCATATACGGCTCTTCCCCCTCCCTCCCGGTGGGGATTCCCGAACGTAGGAAGTGCTCTGACTCTAATAGCTCCATGAGTGCAAGGAACCGGTGGTAAACCCCAGTGTTACTCTTTGTAAAGCGTTTTTCTCCATAGACACTCCACGAGCCTTCGCTTTTGACGTGTCCAGATCGATTCCGCTGATCTCTGATCAGATCCATATTCTTGTAAGGGCAGTTTCCGATAATTCAGGAAGCAAGTTATCTCATTCGAAATTGTTCCACTTGTTGAAGTGTCCTTTCAGATTGTAAGAGAAAAGACTTGAAAGATACTTACCCTATAACGGTTCCTACCATAAGCAAGCTGTTCCACAAATTCAGTCATTTTTGATAAATCCTCATATTTGGGAATTTGCCGGAACTCCGCAACAAGTCCTTTTGGTC